ACGCCAGCCAGCGCACGCCCTCGGAGCGACCCGACAAGGACGAATCAATTCACCAGGCGCCGCAAGGCGGTAGGCTGCGCACCACGACCCCGGTCCATGAGCATCTCGGCCGCCACCGTGATGCTCACGACACCCTTGATGCCCGCAGACGTGCCCGCGCGATGCGAGGGAGGGGGCTAGCCGTGGCTACCACCCTCGTCATGGCGGATGCTACAACAGCGGCGAGGACCGAAGCTCGAGCCCCGGCCTTCTAGGACCTCAGGCCTTTGGCCGGCACATCCTCAACGACGCCTTTGCACCACGGTACCGACCACCGACCAACATCCCTAAGTACTCCGGGGAAACGAACCCCGGACTATGGCTCGAGGATTATCGGCTTGCTTGCCAAGCCGGTGGAGCAGATAATGACGATTTTGTTATCCGCAACCTTCCATTGTTCCTGGCCGATTCGGCACTAACATAGTTGGAACACCTTCCGCCCAACAGAATCCAAAGTTGGGCGGACCTGAAAGAGGTCTTCGTGGGAAACTTTCAGGGCACATACAAGCGTCCTGGGAACCCATGGGATCTCAAAAATTGCCGACGAAGGGTCGAGAAACCCTTCGTGGGTACATTCGGTGCTTCTCCCGGTAGTGCAAAGAGCTACCTAACGTCGCCGACGCCAACGTCATAGGAGCTTTCCTATCTGGGACTACCTGCGAGTCTTTGGTCCATAAGCTGGGATGTAAGGGCCCACAAACCACCAAGGAGCTCCTCGACATCGCCACCAGCCACGCCTCGAGCGAGGAGGCAGTCGGGACGATCTTCGATCGCCTCAAGGGCAAGGCGAAGCGGGACGAGGACGCCGGCGAAGGCACCTCCAACTGCCCCAGCAAGAAGAAGAACAAGTAGCGGCGTGAGGGCTCGCTCGTGGCCACCGCCGACCGCAAGGAGGGTCGGAAGCCCGCAGAGGGTACCATGAACCACTTCGAGAAGCTGCTCCAAGGGCCATGCCCGAACCAAGCCTTCCCCGTCAAGCATCTCTACAAGGACTGCGGCCTCATAAAGCGGTTCTTGTACGGAGGCTCCAACAAGGGGGAGCACAGGGGGACCCCAAGCCGGCCACAGATGTCGCCGAGGGGAATGACGGCGGCTTTCCGACACTGGATGGCTGCCTCATGATCTTCAGAGGGTCGGCGGCCCATGACTCCAAGCGCCGCCAGAAGCTTGCGCACCGCGAGGTCTATACGGCCGAGCCGGCCGCACCTGCCTTTCTCCGATGGTCGGAGTCCGCCATAACCTTTGATCGGATCGACCAACCGGAGAGCGTCCCGCAACAGGGGAGATACTCGCTTGTGGTTGACCCGATCATCGGCACGAAGCGGCTCACCAAGGTCCTGATAGATGGAGGCAGCGGCCTCAACATCATGTACGTCAAAACACTCGACGCCATGGGCATCGACCGATCGCGCATCCGACTGACCGGAGCGCCTTTCCACGGCATCGTGCCTAGAAAGCAGGTCATGCCACTTGAGCAGATCGATCTGCTCGTCACCTTCCGGGATCCGTCCAATTGTAGGACGGAGACCCTCACCTTTGAGGTGGTTGGGTTCCATGGAACCTTCCATGCCATCGACTAGCGAGTGACGCCCGAGTCGGACGGACCCGAGGCGCTAGATGCTCCGTTGTTTTGGTCATAATTGAAACGAGTCTACTGTTCCGTGGGGACGGCGAACATGATTTCGTGCGTAGGGGGCGGGACACTCAGACAGGACCCGAGGTGCATCCGGATGCGCCCCTGAATCCGGGTGTTCAGACGCGAGGAGCGCCGTTGGACAAAAGATCATCGAGGCGTGGAGCGCCGTGGGAGTTGACGTGAGCTTTAAAGGAGGACTGGTTAATGCATCTCCTGCATGCATGTTCGATCCATAGCCCTAGAGCTCCCAAAAGTATTGCAGCATGCCCCTAGCCCGTAGGTCTTGCAGAGACACTAGCAAGTAGCAACCAGCGCTGGTATGAATGGATGAAGCCTGTAGTCTTGTCAAAAAAGAAGAAGAAGCCAGTAGTCAGAAGTTATTTATGGCTTTCTTCCTTTTCGCTTGAATATATCGGCTAACTTATCAGCTATGGAATAATATTTTTTTCTCATAACAAATCAACTTTAGCCGGCTTATCAATCTGTTTATGCAGCGGTCAAAAGATGCTTTTACAATACTACTCCATACTCGTCCGTCAATACTACAAGAATATGTACAAATAAATAAAATCGAAGCACTGTTAAAACAAAATTGATTTGACCTAACTTCTATGCACTACTCCTTGTGTCTTAAACAATTGTAATTTTCACATTTCAGAAAATAAAAAACTTAAACTTTATCAAAATTATATAAAAATAGTAGTTTCAAAGATATTTTCCTAATAAACTTAGTTGAAGACATGAATGTTAATAAAATTCACTGTAAATTTGAAGGCAATATATTTTTTTATATATAAGTGGGCGGTTGGTTGGTGAATTCCACGTTCTCTTTGTACGGCTATACCACACGTCCACTTGTGACTGAAAATAGAATGCTATATTTTTATGTTAACTTTAAAAAACTTGTATTAAATATTTTATCTGGAAACAACCAACTATAAAGTTTTAGATCTCGTCGAGCATAACAACTTTAGTATAGGAAGTGTCTCCTTTTGAGTCCATTTAAAAAATACGGATCTCGAATTTCAAGAATGTACATCTATATCTTCAACTCCTTTGTGTTCCCCTGGATCTCTGCAGTGTTATTGTGGCCTTTGTGAATGGCATACTTAGGAATTTTTTTCTCCTGGCATTGAGGTCCTTCCTCCTTTGGGGTACGATCTTATCATGCAACTTGTTGGCTAACCCCTTCCTGATGTCAAACTTCCCCATTATCATCTTCCTGACTTTGTCAATCAGTTGGATGACAAGTTGTGCTTTCTCCTTCCTGGCCCATGAGTTGAATGTCTATGTAATGTTGTTAGTTATATAATCACACATGCAAATTTGAGAGAAATTTCCACCAATTCCATAGATCCTTGTGGTTGTCTTCTTTCCACTTGATAGCATTTGGTGAGGCCTTCATCATGATATTGTAGTGGTTTCACAATGTTGCTGGCTTCTGTGGCCCCGTGCGATGCATGCAGGCCTTCATCGTGATATTTTAGTGACATTGCACTTTCCACTAGATGTTGTCACTACAATATTCTATTGGAGAACATTGTTGTCCCCGTGTATGTTGTCACTAGGATTGGTGATCTGGAGCCGCTCCTGGTGACCCAGCGAAGGGAGGCAGTGAGTCCCCAAACCCGGGCGACCGAGCTCGGGAACCAAGCGGGTGGCTTGGTCGAGAAACCGTGAGTCACCCCCACGGGGCCTGAGACCAATGATCGGTCGACCAAAAACTTGGGGCTCGCTCCTACGGACTCACCTGCTAGCAGCACTAGCGCGGCGCTCTTGGCCTCGGCAGTGCCGGCCCTAGGGGTAGGCCACCAGTTGCGACGGCTGAGGGCCCAAGCGAAGGAGGGGCCAAACTCAGGTATACAACATCGGCATTCCTTTTCTATTTTTCTTTCCCCACGGCCCTCGGGTAGAGAGGAGGGAGAGTCAGTCACAACACTCACGACGCGTGTGTCTTACACACGGTAGTCAAGGCGACCGCACAGACCCCACGGCTGCGACCGAGGGCTCCACGACGACGACATCTTGATTCTTGCCTTATTACGAATTGCAATCACCGATCAGTTGTATAGGCCCAAGGTTTTTTTTTTCCTTTTTATTTTTAATCCAAATTAATTATTTGTATAGTATTTCAGACTTCTAGTACTTTGTACCTATATAGTCATATTTTTCTTCTAATTTAGGTGTTAGAATTTTAGAATATTACATACGAAACATTTGTAATGGGCGAGAAAAGAAAACAAATATCTTATTTTTTTAATCTACATTATTACTCGATAATTATCATACATCTACAAATATATTGCTTAATCTATATTGTTCCTCGATAATTATCAGACATGTTAAATTAAAAATATATTATTGAATTTGTTTTCGTTTTACAAGTAAAATCAGTACATATATATTATAAGATTTTATACATGGTCCAGAGAGCCCGTTGCAACGAGATCGTCAGAGGGCGCTTAAATTCATAGGACCGGCGCTGGGCCTCGGAGACCAGCGTTGTGCAACTCATCCCCCACAGGGAACTCGACGACCCAAACACGACTCAAACATAAAGACAATGATACAAGTCGTTTCATTGACATACAGGTGCGGCCCGTGGCGATTACATGTATATGGCGACAAAGACCGCTTAAGCTACAAAGGGGCCCAAGGGATCTGACCCAAGTCATCATGTGACGGGGGCAGCTACGATGCAGGCCCCTGGTGCTACGGAAGAAGCAACGTCAACCTCCCCGTCCGAGCCTTCGCGACACCCATAAGGAAGGACCCCGTGCGGTGCACGTTGCTGAAGTCCCTCCAACTACAGGTGCGCGAGGAGAAGAGGTCGAGCCATCCGGGCTGGGCTGGAAGAGGGAGGATAGCCGACGCCCGCAGGCAAAAGAAGTAGGCATGCTTTCGTGTTCGTATAGTTTTAGAAGCACCTTGAACTCTACTTTTGGCTTTTGAGTTACGCATTCCTGCTTTCTGAAATGGGTGAGAATAAAGAGTTGTTCACAACCGTTTTAAGGAATATAGAGAAAATTATGTTTTATACTTGTTTCACCCAAACAGCTTTATAGTTTTTCCACGGCACAGAAGCTCGTAGCACAGCTCACAACTTTTTGTTCACGGCTCAAAGCCCAACCAAACACACTAAATTGGCCCTTAAGCACCTGAAATCCTCCCGCAGTTAACATGTACAACTCGGTTGCAATTGCAAACTGTTAGATATGTACTAGTATCTGACCCTCAAAACTGCACCACACCAACATTCACGTTGTCGGGGACAATTTCTATTTCTCTACGATGAAGTGATACAACAAAATGCCAAAAAAAAAAACTATTCCACTGTTATCTGAAGCACGGTGGTGAGCCTCGGTTTCCTATACCTCCTCAGCAGCAGCGACGAACACACCACGCTGACGGACGAGAATGCCATGCACGCGCCAGCCAGCCAAGGTGGCATCTGGAGACCGGTGAAGGGAAACAGCGCGCCAGCAGCCACGGGGATGGCGATCACGTTGTACGCCATGGCAAAGAAGTAGTTCCACCGGATCCGGCTGAATGTCTTCCTTGAGAGGTCAATAGCTGTGATCACATCCTCCAGGTTGTTCCGAACGAGCACATAGTCAGCCGCCTCAATAGCAATGTCAGTGCCTGCACCGATGGCCATACCGACATCAGCTGCAACCAGGGCAGGCGAATCGTTGATGCCATCTCCGACCATTGCGACAACACTGCCATCCTTTTGCAGAGAGCGGATTACATCGGCTTTTCCGGCTGGCATAACCTCGGCTCTCACGTCGTCAATGCCAACCTGCAGAAACCCATAATTTCAGGATTTCACATTTCATACCAGCACGTTAATAAATGTTCTGGTGTAAGTTGCTTAAACTACTGTTGGCAACTAAAACTGACCTCCTTTGCAACTGCTCGTGCAGTCCTCCAGTTGTCCCCAGTGACCATAACTGGATGAACACCCATCTTTTTTAGACCTTGTATAACCACAGCAGCCTCCCTTTTCAAAGGATCGGTTATCCCAATCAAGCCAATGAAGTCACCATCGTATGCTACGAGAATACCAGTTTTTGCATTCAGCTCCATGTCTACCAAGAAACATTCAGCTTCTTCAGGAATGTTTACCCCATTTTCAGTTATCAATGCTCGATTCCCTACCTGCATAAGTATTTAAGCATCAACATGTCATATTTACTTGTTATAAATCAAGTCCATCCTCCAATTATTTGAAGGGGCAAAGTAAAAGCAAAGCTATATTCTCCAACTCACCAAAATTTTCTTCCCATTGATCCAACATTGAATCCCTTTGCCAGGCAGGGCAGAAAAGTCCGCGACTTCCAGAAGCCACTGAGAAAGTATCTCTTCTTTTCTTCTATTAATGTTGTCTTTTGCTGAGGGAAGTTTGCCGAAGAAATGGAAATGAAATGCATAATCCAAGATAGCTTTTGCAAGTGGATGCTCGCTGCTTGCCTAAATTACAAAAACCAAAATAAGTTTAGCAGTTACAGCTTGGCACTTTGCTGGAAGCATCATAGGAAAGTAATGCAAGAGTACAGTTTTTTTTCCTTTTGTTCACCTCACCTCTGCAGATGCTACCAATGTGAGAAAGTCCCCCAGATCCATTCCTGAAAAAATCTTTGCTGTTGTTACAGTAGCCTTTCCTTGGGTCAGTGTTCCGGTCTTGTCGAAAATAACATATTTCACATTCTGAGCTCTCTCCAGGGCATCTCCGCCCTTTACAAGTACTCCGTGACTAGCCCCAACTCCAGTTGCTACCATAACAGCAGTTGGGGTTGCCAGACCAAGAGCACATGGACAAGCAATCACCACAACAGATATGGAGAACATGAGGGAGAAAACAAAGCAATTGCTACTTTCAGCAGACCATGAGTTTGGATATGCTCCCAACCATCCACATAGAAACCTAGAAAGTCAATAATGCACGAGTCAGAAACTTAAAAAATAAATTTATACCCACAATACTGACCCCAGAGATGTTGAAACTTACCATGCAAGAAATGTCAAGAAGGACAGGGTGATGACAATAGGAACGAAAATGCTAGCTACCTGAAATGAGGTAATGTCAGCACAAAAGGGCATGCAATTATAGGTGTTCATAATAGAGCAAAAGGCCACTCCATATCAAGGATTTATGTCATGTGTGCTCTGGTATATCCAAGATTTTTTAACAAAAAAAATATGAATGTAAGAAAGGTGCTCTATAAGAATTTAGAAGAAGATGAAAAAAAAATCAACCAGGTCATGCCAGGTAACCATCAAACAAATGTAAAGTCTGCCATAAATGATTTAATTTTCTCTACAAGACACTTTAAATAGAAAAGGCAGAGTCAATGTTTAACCAATAATAGCAACATAGCAGATTTAAGTTGCCCAAAACAATGCTTTGCAGATTTAAGATTACAATATGGAGTTAAGAGACTATTTTTATAAGCTAAGGAATTGATAAGTGTACTTACATAATCAGCAAACTTCTGAATAGGGGCCTTAGACATCTGGGCAGTTTCAACAAGAGAAATTATCTGGCTCAAAACTGTCCCAGATCCTACTTTAGTCGCTTGTATATGAAGAATACCATGCAAGTTCATTGTGCCTCCAATTACTAGACTGGATACTTCCTTGGAGATTGGTACAGATTCACCAGTTACCATACTCTCATTGACATGACTTGTACCCCAAATGACGATACCATCTGCAGGAACCTTTGAACCAGGAAGCACTTTTAAGGCATCACCAGGTTGTACCAACGACGCGTCAATTTCCTTCTCTCCTGAATATTTTCCCTCTGTATTTGAGGAAAATATTCTGAGTTTATGTGTACAACTAACAGAAAAAAGAAAGAGAAAATGCCCTAAAGACTATGTGCAGAAGGCTACTCTAAGCAACCAGTTAAGATGGAATGCACCACCAAGAAGAAGATTAAGGTTTACCATATGAAGATTACTTCTATAAGCTTTCTAGAACTGCTAATTGTTATTACTTATTACTGCAGGTGGTTGCATAGTTCGGATCAGATACCTTTGTCCTTCAGAAGTAGAAGAGCTGTAGCAGGAGCAAGCTCTACAAGCTTCTTGATAGCATCTGATGTCTTTCCTTTTGCAAGCACCTCAAGATACTTCCCAAATAGCACAAATGTAATTATCATTGCACTCGTCTCAAAATATATTGGAGGATGAAATCCAGTGAATGCCCCATAAAGAAGTGCACAAACAGAGTAGACATATGAAGCAGTAGTGCCAATAACAACTAAGACATCCATATTTGTAGAGCCATGTCTTAGGGCCCTATAAGCTGCAACATAGAATCGTTTGCCAACAACAAACTGTACCATGGTCACCAGAATCCACTTCAACAGATCTCCTATACGAAATGGCCCAAAGTGCATGAGTAGGAATGAACTAATCAGAGGTATGCGAGGGCATACCATGCGGATGAAATATACAGGAATCTGGTGCAAGGAAATGAGCGGAGAGTCAGCACGCAAGTAACACACACTGTCAAACAGTATGTATAGCATCAAAAATTCGAAATAAACATATCATCAAAGCTACATAATTAAATCTTTAGGATAGCAGGGGAAACTAAACTTACACTTAGGAATAAACTAAAGCGAAGAAGATGAAGCATCTTAGAGGCCTCCTGTGCATCATTTGAAGCAGCTCGTATATATGGATTCTGTACATGTGCTTTCAGTCTATTGTTGCTTTCCATCTCGATGGTATCTACAATCTGTCTCAAACCAACTACTTCAGGGTCAAATACAATGTCAACTTCTGAGTTTGCAAAATTTACACCAAACTGTCGCAACCCTTCCATTTTTTTCAGGATATCATGCAATACATCTACATCTCCCTCAAAATGCAACCCCGTGACACTTAATAAGACCTTGTCTTGCTCGCTACTTCGCAACAGCGCAGCATCAAAACCAGCATCCTCAATGGCCTGAACAATTTCATCTTTGCTAATGGCAGAAGGATCATATTCAACTTCGCCCAATGAGGTTGCTAATGCAACAACTGCTCTTTTTACACCTGGCAATTTTTTTAAGATCCCCTCAACCGAGTTCACACATGCAGCACAAGTCATTCCCCCTATCCTAAATTGGCCTGACAAAGTCTTCTGCGATTTTGGCTGAGAAACAGTAGAGTCGGGAAGAATTTCTGCTTCGAACCCAGCATCTTCTATTGCTTCTACAATGTCATCGTCCTGCATACAACAAGCTTTAAACATTAAAAAAGGGACAAATAAATCTTGAGTAGAAAACTTCCTGTTGGGGCCCTTGCAGAGACAAAGTAAAAGGAAATGAGTTGCTAGGTAATGGTTGCAGACTAGCAACGTGTCAAATAGTGGCTCTATTTAAAATGACAAACATCTATTTTAGCTGGAGATTGCTTGCTGCCTACTATAATATTAGTTAATCACATTAAACTCTCCTAGGGAATTGTCAATCGAAATTTCAAAAATCTCTCAGCATCCCAGTTAAGAGGGGCTGCGATTTACATGGGCATCGATCCCACTGATAAAGCTTCCAAACACAGGAAACATTTCTCCAACAACATCAACTAATAAAAATAAAAATCGACACCTATCTGCAGGTCCACCGAATTCAATGAACCAGCTTCAACCAGAAGAAAAGACAGAAGAAATTCAAACGGTTACCGAGTTACGTACGGAGTACTTCTGAAGCTCCTCTAAATGAAGAGGAGCTAAGCAGACATGTACATCTCCTATACTAACCACCCTAACCAAGAGGCCGCAGTTCAATTTCCCGCCCCAAGCTCCTCAATTCCCCAGCGCAACGCAACACAGCGCCAGAACTGCACAGAATTTGTAGCGCACAGAGCTAGAAAGAAAAAAAACTATCCATCGAGAGGGCGCGCGGGATGGACGGAGGAAGGAGAGGGGAGGGATCACGGGGCCAGCCGACGGACCTTGGCGAGCGCGGGGTCGAAGACGACGTGGGCGCGGTTCTGGAGCAGCGACACGGCAGCGCGGCGCACGCCGCGGCGGGCGGAGAGCGCGGCCTCGACGGCGCCCGTGCACGCGGAGCACGTCATGCCGGTGACGCGCACCTGCACCCGGCGCATGCCGGCCTCCGCCTGGTCCTCCCCCTCCGTCCCCACCCCGGCCTCCTCGTCGTAGGAGCCCAGCAGCGCGACCTCCTCCATCTCGTCGTCGGCGCCGCCGGCGAGCGCCGTGAGCTGGAGGTGGGCCATGGGCGTCGGCGACGGGGAGGCGGGGGGAAATGTTCGGAAGACGGGAGGGGAGCGCGGAAATCGTGGGGCAGGGGAGGTGGGACGCGCAATGATGTGGGAGGAGACGACTTGCCTAGGGGGTTATTCCAATTTAGCGTGAATTCCAAGGGGGTTTCTGCAAATGCTGCGGGATTGACTTGATCCTGAAGAATTGGTAGGTAGCCGTAGGTAGGCGTCGTCGTGGACGGGGCATTCAGCCGCTTACACTTGGAAGAACGTCCTTTTTCTTTCCCTTGTTTGTCACGCCGATTCGTATTCAAAATTTCAAATGCATGGACTTAACAAGATTTTTGAAACATGTACCGCTACCGTACTCGTGGTGATCAAACCTTTTTAAATTTAGCTAGATTTATAGAAAATATCAGTAACATTTGTATCTTCAAAAATATTTATTATAAAAATATATTAACAACTTATTTAATAATATTAATTATGTACTATAAATATTAATATTTTTTCTTATATATATTTAGTCAAAATCGATAGTGTTTAACTTCGGATAAGTGGATAGAGTAGATTGTTTCATAAGACAAAAATGTCCATATTGAGATGGTATGTGCCACAAACACTTTTTCATTTACAAAAATACTCCATTTGTTCTAAATTATATGTTACTATGACTTTTCTAAATACTCAAACAATTTTTACTATTTATCTAGATTTAGTTTATATTTAGATGTATAAAAAATATATCTATAAAAATCAGGACAACTTACAATTTGTAACATAGTCTTAATATTTTTTAGAGACTTGTATCTTCTTGAATTTATTTTTAAGGATGGTATATTTACATTCATTTATTCGTTCGTTCACGCTGGTTGTATGGACAATTGAGAGCGAGATGTCGACTTGGTCAATATAATCTCCCAACGGCGTGGAGTACAAGGGAAAAGAGATTTGGGACTCACGGGGGCGCGGTACGACGGGGCACGTCGATCCCGACGCGGCGCAGGCACGGTCAGTCCGAGTCTCTGTGCACCAAATCAAAACCCAAAACCGCACCAACACCAATTTAGATAATCCGTTCGAACCAGCGGATACCGAAACCGAATGGATATCCGAAACCCTCTTGACAACATTAAAGAGAAATAAGGACTTTCTATAAACATATGCATGATATATATACACATATTCACATGTATAAATAAGAGGCAACAAATAATAAATATTTTCATGAGTCAACTTAGAATAAATTTAATAATATAAGTAAACAAGTTATTATTAGTATATTATAAAACATGAGTTTTAATTTCAAATAATTTATTTCAGATATCCATTGGATATCCACGGGTGGAAAACCAAACCTGAAACCGAACCCGATTGGTTTCGAGGCTCCGAACCTGAAAACCGTGGGTGAGAAACCATCTCCGAACCCGAACCCGTAAGACCTTAAACCCATGAATATCCTACACGAAACCACTCCGTTGCCATCCTTGGTCCGAGTATCCGAGAAGAAACAAAACATTCTTGGTGCAACCGTGCAAGCACACTGATATCTGAAAACGATGTGGCAGCCTGGCAGGTGCGGACGGATACGTTGTTTCCATCTCACGCGCGCCGGCGGCGGCCGAGCATGTTCACGCCTCGCCTCACGCGCGGGATGCAAGTCCTCTGGGCCGGCCATGCCGTGTCCATGGTGACCTTTTGGTTTTGGGCAGCGGTCAGCAGATCACGTACAACGACGGTCCCCGGATCTGTGTGAGGCTGTTTCCTCGAGACTAGAGGTGGGACTTGGGCCGGGCTGGGCCAGCACAGCAGGGCCTCTCTCGTGCTTCGTGCCACTTTGGGTTGCGTTTCTCTATCCACGGGAGGCACGTCGGGCCGTGCCGATATGATACGGTAAATCTTTTCTTCGGCCCAAGAACGACCCGTGGCATGTTGGCACGCCTTTGAGTCGAGCCGGCCCAAGCACGGTCCTCAAAATGTATCTGCTAGTTTTCTTTTTTTTCCGCTCATGATATAAAATATATATATTCGTGTGTACTATTTTAATAAAAGTTTTAATTATTTTCATAATCTATTCAAGAATTAGAGGAGATATAATATAGTAAATGCTAGAAAATTACATTGTATAGTTCTAGAATTGTCTACGTGCCATTTTCCGTGCCATCTTGGCCCAAGCATGACCCAAAATGTGGGCCGGGCCACGTAGCCCGCCGTGCCGAGATCGTGGACACGCATACGGCCGTTGTGTGCGTGTCGTGCTGGCATGGCCTAAAACATTTTGTACCGTGCAGTGTTTCATGTCGTACCAAAGGACCGTGCCAGGATCCGCCCTCAAATGACACAGCCCGTCCCAGCTCTACTCGAGACCACGAGGGCATCGCGTGCGATTGAGATGTTTATCCATTATATATTTTATTTATATACGTTCAAAAAATTGAGATGCATGTCCTTTTTTTATTTCAGAAATTGCGTGAAATGTTGGGCGATGGGGACACGTGATGACGCAGGATCGAACTTTGATGCGGTATGTGCGGTGCCTCTGCCTCGTGTGCGTGTATTCGTATGCTGGGCTCGTGATGGGCTAGCACTAGACGAAGAAGCAGCTCTCGCAAGGCCCGCACCGCAGACGTTGGCACGTTGCTGCAGCGAACAGACTAGCAGGGCCGCGCGAAGGACTAGTTGGGCTGGGCTACTCCTCGACGTGGGCCAACAGCCTTTGCACTCCCCACACACGGAACTCTGGTCGGTCGGAATTTAGCGCCCGGACGTCCTACACGCGAGACGCGTCCGGACGCCTGGCCCTTCGCACCGAGACATCCTAAATCCGCCCGCCCTTCTTAAAAAAAAAACAAACCCGCCCGTCCCAGCCACTCACTTCTCTTCACCGCCCGAACTCCTTCACCGCCCGCTCACTTCTCTTCACCGCCCAACCCCCCGCGGGAATAGAATGGACCCACTCGCCCCCCTGTCACCCGTTCCCCCATGCTAGGTGTGTCGCATCCTCACCACGCTCCCATCAGAAAATTGTTTTGCAACATCAAACAAAGCGTGATGCGAGGTGAAACATCAGAACAAGTCTACTGCAAACATCAGAACAAAAGCGACTGCAACAACACAACAAAGCTACTACAACACGAGGTGCAACATCAGAAAAAAAGACTAATGCAACAAAGAAAAATTATTTGATGCAACAGCAAACCAAAACTATTGCAACAACAGAAACAAAAGCGTAATGCGAGATGCAACATTAGAAAAAAAAGACTAATGCAACAAAGAAAATTACTTTTTGCAACAACAAAACAACGCTACTGAAACAACAAAAACAAAAGGGCAATGCGAGATGCGACATCAGAAAAAAGACAAATGCAACAAAGAAAAAAATACTTGTTGCAACAACAAAACGACACTACTGCAACAACAGAAACAAAAGTGCAATGCGAGATGCAACATAAAAAAGACTAATATAACAAAAAAATATTACTTGTTACAACAGCAAAACAAGCCTACTACAATAGAGCTCGCCAAAACCCTAACCACCGCCGTGTCCCTCAGATCCAGATCTAGAGGAGGAGGAGGAAGAGAAGGAGGAGGAGGAGGAGGAGGAGAGCTCAGATCCAAAGGAGAAGGAGGAGGACTCAAATCCAGAGAAGAACCCACCTATCTCGCCGGAAGCCACCACCGTCGCCCTCCTCTCCGGTGGCATGGAGGTCGCGGAGGGAGGGAGGGCGGCTCGCCGAAAGCCGCCGCCGCCGCCCTTCTCTCTGGTGGCATGGAGTCGCGGAGGGAGGGAGGGAGGGAGGGGTGGCTCGTCGAAGCCACCACCATCTCCGGTGGTATGGAGGTCGTGGAGGGAGGGAGGGGCGCGGCGCGCGAACGCTGGGTGCCAGCAGCGAGAGAGTGGAGAAGAGGGCGAGCAGAGCAAGAGAACTAGGTGCGCGGTCACGGGATAGGATGGGGAGGGAGTCGAGCCAGGAGATAAAGCGAGGCGCGTCAAGTCGTGCGGGGTCCGTTCGAAGGGGACGGATGCCCGCTCGGTATCATTACCGAAATTTTGTACCCGTCGTACATGCCCCTCTCGTTCCTGGTAACAAGTTTCTATTGGTTGTATTTTTTTTAAGTGAGGGGACTTATATTAAATGTTGGCATAGCATATCTCTAAAGTACACATGAAAAATCTAAAATAAAAAATATAATATTCTATCTAGATTCTTCCATCTTCTTCTTCACCAATGGCATCTCTTGTGTGCCGGAGCTAAACTGCAGTCCTTATGCCAAATCTAACGACCAACCCACGTGTCACAAGATTCAACGTTTCGGAACTAGTACAAAACGTATCTAAATCGTTAAAAGAATATCGGCAGTTGCATTGCATCGTTAGAACAGAACATGTTCCTTGTCCTGTGAACATCGTTCCAATCAATACTAGGTACGTGTTTCGTTCCTCAAACAAACAATATAAATAGATATAACCTCTCTGCACCGTAAGGCCCTGCTCTGCTGTTGTGTACCTCATCCACCCTCTCCTCTTAAAAGTCTTAACCATCCTTTTTTCATTTTGATGAACAGATATCCAGAACATCGTTCCAATCAATACTAGGTACGTCATTCCTCAAACAAACAATATAAATAGATATACCCTCTCTGCACCGTAAGGCCCTGCTCTGCTGTTGTGCACCTCATCCACCCCCTCCTCTTAAAAGTCTTAACCATCCTTTTTTCATTTTGATGAACAGATAGCCCGCCAATAGCAACTACAACTCTCCTATCATATAGACAGGGTAACAAATAAGAATTATTTGTTTATTAGGTGGAAAGAGGACCTTATATATGCAGTTGAGGAAAATGACGCCCAGAACAAATCATGCAATACACGTGTGGGGCAAAACACACAGACGGAACAGAAAAATAATACAGAATAATACACCATGTAAAAAATCGTGCAGTTCGGGCGATGAAATAGCGAGCTTCGTCGATCAATTCGTAACGAGCAGAGACGGGTGGAATTAGAAAAATCG